TTCTCGGTGAGACTGGCAAATAGAACGGAAGCGGAAATACCTGAGGCTTTATGGATATGGGGAATGAATTAGACGCCTAGATTTGTTCTTGGTCATTAAAACGATATGACCCCGGGGTTGCCGTATTTAAAAAACATAAGATTCAGATTGATTGGTGAAGCAAGGCAATTGACGCCAACCATCCGCACACTCCAACACTTCTTCAGTGGGTGATGTTCTTCTCTCAGTTAGACTGCGCACGCTCTCAAAGAAGTCGCTACAGTTACAACCACCAGCATTTTTTCGTGGTATTATAGTCAATGCCAACTTGCGAAGGTAAAATAGTTTCGCCAACAGCGAGTGGTGGTAGATAAGCCGTGAGTGACGCTCCTTAATTGGGCAAGGCCGACCATAATCGCTAACAACACTGTCTATGTGGGTACAAAGCTTCACACAGGTCTGATATGTTGTGCACTGATATTTTACCAGTTCGAAACTATGTTTGAATAGTGGGCGATGCTGCCGTAGCTTGTTTGAATCGAGCCAAATACGCACAGCGCATAAGAGGGCAAATCTTATAAAAAGCGACCTATCGTGGCATGTCTACGCCTGCGACTTAGTGTGGAACTGCTTTGCTTAGACAAGGAGTTTTTTCTGCAGCCCCTCTCAACAGTCATAGAATGTGCGAGTTGTCGCACATCGTGTTGGGTTCTATTCATTTCCAACATGTGATACAACATTGTAGTTATTGTAACTCTAAACTTCTATATGCTTTTGTATGCAGCGACGAATTTCTAGAATACTGATGAATGCTGCATGCACGTGAAAAACAAAATAGATGTGGGATGATGTAATCGGGTTACACATACCCTGGTAACAGGGGTGTGTGTCACACTAGATGGGCAAGGTGTGACCACACCCAAACAAGAATACGGTACGGGGCTAGACAGCCAGTAGTTATACATGTAGTTAGATTGTATTATATATATTTAATAAAATCTATGCATTTAAATTAGGCGGCTTTGCCGCAGAAAATAAAACTTAGTTTTAATTTTAGACCGAGAGTTTATTAGCCTTGGTGAGAGTACTAACTACTTTCGGAGGTAGCGGATCGCGATCCGCAACACTCGTATTGGTTCTTG